GAGGGGGGCATTTAGGTAGATTAATAAAAGCCAGAGTAGCAAAAGTTGTGGATGAATAGTATGAGGGAGAGGTAATAACTTATTAAAATGTTGTAAGTACAAAATAAAATATTTTCTAAAATAATAAAAAAACAATTTAAAAATATTTTAAGATTTTAATTAAAATACGCTGTTTAGTTTAATAATAAATTAATATAATAATATTATTTGTAGCTGAGTTATTTATATTCACCAAGTACCAACCCATTCAAAAGCCTGTTTCCAGTCCCTCAACTATGATTCATATTCGCTCCTTGCCTAGGTTGGTCTCCCCTTTTTGTCGACGAATGTCTTCTTCATCGGGGACAGAAGTACCATCAAATGAATTAACATTATCTTTCGGTTCTCCTTATAAAGTTTTTTACGATAGGAAGATCGTGAAACAGGTAGATATTCCTGGACTTTTCGCCTACTCTGGTATTGTAAAAGATCACGTTCCATTTATCACTGCTCTACGACCAGGCGTTATTCAGGTTATAGAAGATGATGGCGCTTCTAATAAATTCTTCGGTGAGTTCATCATGCTGTCTAACCTTCAGCAACAAAATGCATATTTAGACGCCTGGTATGTTATAACTGCCTCTTTCACGTAATGGCTCAATGATTTATTGCTAGAAAACGTGTGATATGCACTTATTCTTATTGTCTACGTTCGATTATATTTTAGTCAGTAGCGGCACGGCCACTTTCAATGCCGATTCTTCCATGCAGATTCTCGCGGAAGAGGCATGTACTTTAGATGCTCTTGACGCCAGCCTTATAGCTGCTGGACTTCAATCAGCACAAGATCAGATGGCCTCAGCGAAAGATGATGTTACAAAAGCAGAGGCTCAAATTGCTGTTGAAGCTTACGAATCACTAGCAAGAGCAGCTGAATAAAGCACTAGCCCTCTCTTCTGGTGGAAAACTATTGATAGCCCTTAATATAGGAAATAGAGCATCGTTATTGAAATTTATGGTTTTTATAAGTCGCCTTCTAGTATAGGGAGCCTAGAGTATAGCTGGTGTCTCATCAATAAGAGCTTTTAAAATAATTTAAGCAAATTCGCATGCTCTTTAACAAACCGTTGTCTTTGTGTCCATTACTAGGCTGATATATGTTAGGTCAAATATCAATTTTTGGCATTTTGTTGATAAGCAAAGGCCATATCGCACCATACGCATTGTTTGCCCTACTTACTCTTTCAGGAAGGTTAGCCGAACACGCTTGGATATTATACACTCACTCGGCCTTCTCAATGAAACTAGCCCAACAATGGTAGCATAGTTCTTGTTTTATCAGTATAATCGCTTTGCGAAAGCCTTAATTCCGCTAAATGCACCCCCTTGTCACATGTTAGTCAGATGCGATATGAGATATATTCACCCTATTTCGTTTAAAGTGATGAAGGACTGATAGTATAATTTTCCCACAATGTTATGGGTCATACAAATGAGGCGTCATTTTATTCGGCAGTATAATTCGAACCTAATCCCTAAGGCTAAGTGAAATTAATGCTGATATGCCTTGACATCCATTTCCTTAGGTTGTTTAGGTCAATCTTATTAGGCATATTCATATTATTTCAGAGCCATCTTCTTCCTACCTACATAATACGCACAAATACCAAATTTCCGAGAATCATCATTTTACACTTAAACCAAGAAAATACTTGTCCGGCGA